GAGCTACATTCCCAGCCCTTTTATTATTATTATTTTTTTATTTTGAGACAGGGTCTCACTAAATTGCTGAGGCTGGCTTTGAACATGCAATCCTCCTGCCTTAGCCTCCCAAGCTGTGGTTACAGGCATGCACCACCACCTCAACTAAAGGTTGAGGGTACTTATTGAGCACCTTCTGTGTATCAGGCAGTGTTTTAGGCACTGGAGATACATCAGTGAACAAAAAAAAAGTTCCTTTTTTCTTGGAATGCTTTGAGTCTGAAGGGGGCATGTTGGGTCATCAGAAAGGTATTAACAACGCTTTAGGCAGTCAATAAAATTTGGAATTCTGCTGGGCACAATGGTGCATGCCTGTCATCCCAGCAGCTCTGGAGGCTAAAGCAGGAGGATCACAAGTTCAAAGCCAGCCTCAGCAAAAGCAAGGTGCTAAGCAACTCAGTGAGATCCTTTCTCTAAACGAAATACAAAATAGGACTGGGGATGTGGCTCAGTGGTTGAGTGCCCCTGAGTTCAATCTCCAGTACCGAAAAAAATTAAAAAAAATAAAAAGAAAGAAAGAAAAAAATCGGTATTCCTACCAGGGTATCACAGGGGAATATTAGGAAAATGTAATGATCAAATGATTGGAGGAAATATTGAAGTATCAGAGGTGCATTCCATAAAATTGGAGGATTGTATCAGGATTGAGGGGTAGAAGCAGGATTGGGGAATGAGGTTGGTAGGATTCTGGGGTATGCAGAGGGGCAGGGGGTGAGTGAGGGGAAGTCACAGCTGTGGCTAGGTCCTGTGTCTCACCCATCCCCCTCCTGCCCCTCAGACCACCTTGGAGTGCACCCTGCGGCCAGGCTTGGTTTACAACAAAGTAAACCCCATCTTCCACCACTGGAGCCTGGGAGACTGCAAGTTCGGACTGACATTTCAGAGTCCTGCAGAGGCTGACGAGTTCCAGAAGAGCCTGCTGGCCGCGCTGGCTGCTCTGGGCCGAGGTGAGTGTGCAGGCTGCGGGCAGAGGCACTGGGGCTGGGGGCAGTCCCAGGAGAAGCTGGCGCCTGGGGACTCACTCTCTGCCTCTTTCCCTGCCCCAGGCTCGCTCACTCCCTCCTCTTCCTCCTCCTCCTCCTCCTCCCCTTCCCAGGACACTGCCGAGACTCCCTGCCCTCTGACGGTGAGTCTGGGTGCCTCTGCTGGGAGGGCTGGGCTTGGTTCCTCCTCTGGAAACATCCCTGAGCACCTCCTGTGGAGCAGGCGGTGGGCCACATGCTGGGGACACAAAATAGACCCAAACTATTAGTGTCAGTTCAATTCCAGTTACTCTAGTTTTTTTTGTTGTTGTTCATGATGATTTACATCTTATTCCAGGGTACTTATTGAGCACCTTCTGTGTACCAGACAGTGTTTTAGGCACTAGAGATACATCAGTGAACAAAAAAGTTCCTTTTTACTTGGAGCTTCTATTCTCATACAGGAAAGGCCAGAAAAAGGATATATTTTATAGGTGATTAAATATTAAAAGGAAATGGGGCTGGATGTGGTGGTGGACACCATAATCCTAGCTACTTGGGATGCTGAGGCAGGGAGATTGAAAGTTGGAGGCCAGCCCTGGCAACTCAGTGAGACCCTGTCTCAAAAAGAAAAAAAAAAAAAAAGGGTAAATGGGTGAACAAATGAAAGACAATTCCATATGCCAGTTACTGGACTACAAACCTTGGGGAAGGATCATCCTTTTTGTGCTTCTCGTCTAATGTGTCAGCAAATTATTGGTTCTACTTTCAGAGTGGTCAGAATCTGCCTCCCCCCGCCCCATGTACTGTCCAACCTCATCTTCCAACTGCACTGTCCCAACAGGGTCTCTGTTATCTCCTCTCCTCTTCCCTTCCCCTCCCCCTCATCTCTTTCCCACACAAAGCCAAGGGAACCCCTTTGGCAGTTGAGTCAGATCTTACCCCTCCACTCAGAACCCTCCCAGGGCTTTGTCTCACTCTAGGTAAAGGACAAAGTCCTCATAGTGGCACATACGATCCCCCACCTTCTGGCCCTGAGTCGCTGTCCCCCTTACTTTCCTTGCCCCAGCCTCACTGGCCTCTTTACTCTCACTCCAACAGGGCAGGCACATGCCTGTCTCAGGGCCTTTGCACTGACCCTGCTGTCTGGAACACTTTTTCCCCAGATTCCTACGTGGCTCGTTTTCTTCTTTCAGGGCTTTACACAAATATCACCTTGTAATGGCTTCTCTGAATAACCTTTTAAAATCACAATCTCCTTCTGCCCCTTATCAGGCTCTAATTTTTTTCCATCTAAGATATTTTCCTTCTTTGTTTTCTGAAAAAGCATCTTTCTTATCTATTTGTTTACCATCCACTTCCCGTGTCAGCTCTGGGAGGTAAGGATCTTTGTAGGTTTCATGCTGCAATTCTAATGCCGAAGACAGTGTCGGGTATGCAGTTGAATGAGTGTGTTGAATCAATAGGTTGAATAAATGAATGCATAGACTCTCAGGTACCTTTTGGCGCTTGCTGGGAACAGTGGGAGTTGCTGAGAGCACTTGGGGACACAAAAGTTGTTCCTGGAGCAGAACAGGGGAGAATCTCAGGATAATGGGCGATGGAGGTGGGCCCACAGCAGTCACCCACATTTCCTGTCTATGGTGCCCTTACTTGAAAGATGCTGCTGTCCGTGCTTCAGCTCAATCTGCACAGGGGCTTTTGCGCTTAGCACGCCATGAATGTGTATTGGATGTAGGGAACAGAGGAGGTGGAATTATGTTCACCTTACAGAAAGCTTACAGAGGGTCTGAGAAGTGACAAACTTCAGTTGGTAAAGGACAACCTGATTTGGATAGGAAGGAGGGCATTCCAGTGGTGGTGATTCCCCCACAAAGGTGTAGTGGTGAGAGTGAGGCAGGAAGATGGCTGATTGGCCAAGGGAGAAGGGTAAAGGGAAGCTAGATGGTTTGGTGTTCTGTGGGTCACAGAGCTGAGCAGTTAAGAAGAGCAGTCGAGGTTAGTAATGCCAGGTATTAGGAAGCTGAGGCTGGAGCGTCACAAATTCAAGGCCAGCCTGGGCAACTTGGGGACACCCTGTCTCAATATCAAATAAAAATAAAATAAAAGGGGACTGGGGCCAGGCACAGTAGCGAACACCTGCCATCCCAGTGGTTCTGGAGGCTGTCCAAGAGAACTGTGGGTTCAAAGCTAGCCTCAGCCACTTAGCGAGGGCCTAACAAACCAAGTGAGACCCTGCCTTTAAATAAAATACAAAAAGGGCTGGGGATGTGGCTCAGTGGTTAAGCACCCCTGGGTTCAATCTCCAGTACAAAAAAAAAAAAAGGAGTTTAATGATAACCATTTCCAGCTCTTTCTGTTCTTAGGACATGGGTGGTGTCCTTTATAGTGGGTCCTAACTACATCCTTATGAATAGGTATTATTATTATTACCTCCATTTTACAGAGATGGAAACTGAGGCTCAGAGGTGAGCTCGCTTGCAGGAGCCAGTGGCAGAGCTGGGCTTAAACCCAGGCTTGGCTGGCCGCAGAGCTCCTGCTCGCAACGGGAGGGGGTTTATGTAAGTGCTTCAGCTGCTGGGAAGAGGGGCGTGTCTCCGTGCTGAGACTGCCAATCTCCCCCAGTCCCACGTGGACAGCGACTCCTCCTCTAGTCATAGCCGCCAGGAGACGCCACCGGCAGCAGCAGCAGCGCCCATCATCACCCTGGAGTCAGCTTCTGCCTTCGGGCCGGCCACGCCCCCCCAGCGCCGCCGTTCCTCCGCTCAGGTGCGACCTCTGCCCCCCAGTGGAAGTTTGGGTGCCGCAGTCCCTAAGGGGCAGGGGTGGAGGGTGGTAAAAGAGGACGCCCAGAGCCAGGCAAGCCTGACCTGAGGTTGGATTGGGTTTTCCCGTGTCTGGGGGGCTCTTGGAGATTTGGGGGAGTTCTGAATTCCAGAGGGACTTGGGGGATTATGGGACAGTGTTGGAGTGTATCAGGGTGGTGGTGGTACTCACGGAAGGGCTCCTTAAACGACTTAATTCACGCGTTGGTTAGCTCGGTACCCAAGGTAAAAGAGACCCAGAGTCTGGATTTCTTAGTCCTGAAGCGGGAGTTGGCTGGGATCTGGGAGCTCTGGGACTCCCGGATTTGGAGAGCGACCAGGACAGGGAGGCTGAAGCCAAGAGCTTCTTCAAGTATGGTCAGGCCTGAACTCCTCTGACCGTGGGAAAGGGGCGGCCGAGGGGCCTTGGGCGAGGGGCAGGCTGGGTCCTGAGGTTTGAATCCGCAGGCCAGGAGTGTCCTAAGGGCCCGGGTCCCTGGGTGACGGGTCCTGTGGCTCGGTGGTTGGCTGTGGAGTCCTGGGTCTTCTGCGGTTGGGAGGTGGTGGTGGGGTGGGTGAGGCAAGGCTAACCTGATCTCCTGTCCCTTCGTCCTGCAGAGCTACCCTCCGCTTCTACCGTTCACCGGGCTTCCGGAGCTGGCGGAGCCGGTGGCGGGGGCGGTTGGCCAGGGCTGGGGCGGACGCGGCTATGAGGATTACAGGCGCCCCGGGCCTCCCCCGCCCCTGGCCCTGTCCACCTGCGTGGTGCGCTTCGCCAAGACTGGCACGTTGAGGGGTGCGGCCCTGGGTCCCCCCGTGTCACTACCTGCCCCTCTCACCGAGGCTGCGCCCCCAGCACCCCCAGCCCGACCACCCCCGGGCCCAGGCCCTACCCCTGCACCCGCCAAGGCCTCCCCTGAGGCCGAGGAGGCAGCGCGCTGCGTGCACTGCCGTGCGCTCTTCCGCCGCCGCGCAGACGGGCGTGGTGGCCGCTGTGCAGAGGCCCCGGACCCTGGTCGCCTACTGGTACGCCGACTCAGCTGCCTGTGGTGCGCCGAGAGCTTGCTCTATCACTGCCTGTCGGACGCCGAGGGCGACTTCTCGGACCCGTGCGCCTGTGAGCCAGGTCACCCGCGCCCTGCGGCGCGCTGGGCCGCCCTGGCGGCGCTCTCCCTGGCAGTGCCCTGTCTCTGCTGCTACGCCCCCTTGCGCGCGTGCCACTGGGTCGCTGCAAGATGCGGCTGCGCGGGCTGTGGGGGTCGCCACGAGGAAGCTGCACGGTGAGGACTGCCTGGCGGGTCCGGTTGTTGGACCAGACCGAGGACCCCAACTTAAGGGTCCAGGACCCCAGACTTGGTTCGAATCTAAAATCCAAACCTAGGCACATTTGGAACTTGAAGCTTGAATTTGGACTGAGAAATCCCAGACCTGGAATCTGGACCCTAGATCGATGACTGAGCAGCCCCAGGCCTAGTTTCATTGGGATATCTGTCAAGAGCACCCAGGCCTGAGTTCTGGATTCTCCATCCTTCTTCCCTACTGAGGACACTCGCTACTCCCCGGAGTGCATTTCAGAGGGCCTGGGAAGCACACAGATCTTTGAGAGATGTAGGGACCTTGAGCCCTGACTCCCTATGCATTTGACCAACTCAGACCCCCTTCACACTGGCACCATAACCCTCAGATTATAGCCCCATAATTAGGAGTTGCCAATACCTGTTCCTGCCTGTATCCAGTTACTCCCAGATCTTGAGACCACAGGTCCCCAAATCACCCCCAAATGGTCCCTAAATGTTCATATGGGACCTGGTACTCCACATCTGAGATGTTCTTATAGTCCCAGGACCCCTGAGACATCAAACCCTGGAATCAGCAGATGCTGGCCTCAAGTCTACTCATTACTGAGTGCCCCACAGACCTGGCCTTTGATCCCGGACACCAAGATCTAACTTGTACACGTGACCCCAGATGTCCTAGGACTGGAGACTTAAGATGCGTTGAGTTCTTGGATATGCACAAACATGAGATGTTCTCTGACCAAAATGATTTAGGAGGCCTGTCCCAGAACTTCACAGGTACCAGTCACCAAGATGCTGTGCAGATAAGGAATTGAAGACCTTTGTAGATTCACCCACCCCGCAAACCAGTGTTCTTGGGGGCTTTGAATCTCATATATGAACTCTGAGGTGTGTGATATTCCCAGCGTTTCACTGAAGGCCACCAGTACCTCAGGGCCCAAAGACACTGTCTCAAATCTTCAAAAAGCCCTCTTTCAGCCCACCTCGAACCTCAACGTTGAGACCCAAATGCCCTAGAATCCTTGGCTTCCTTCTATCCACAGATCCCCGGTCACCTAAGGCCAGGTGGAAGTCCAGCTCCTAGAAGATGGGATGGCAATCCAGACCTCAACCCCTTGGCCTCCAGCTCCTGAGTGACCCCAGGGTGCTTTAAGAGCACTGGATCCCAGACTCCAAGGTGCCATTGACCGTCAGATGCAGGGCTTGGGCCCTGACAACATTGGGATTGTTCCTAATTCAAGACCTTGGTCCTTCCATACCACAGTCACTCAGATCCAAGACAACCAGAACCCTAGCACCCTCGGACACCAGAGTTCTTGGACTCAAACTTGTCTAACCTGATGAAGTCCCAAGATGCCTCTATGCCTGATTCCCTGGGCTTGACTCGGAACTGTTGCCCTGTGAATCCTGCCGCGCACAGGCCCCTGAGACCCCAAGCTCCCGGACTTTGGAATTCTGGTTTCCAGGACCCCAGCCCAGTACCCTAGCAATCCTCAGCATCGCCCTTATCCTGAAGTTCATCACCTTGAACTCAGATGCCCAGATTCAGGGCTCTCCAGGAGCTCCCCATCCCCACCTCCAGGGCCCAGGGTCACCACAGAGGATGGTGCAGATTCGTCCCTAAGCAAAGCGCCCAGCTGCAGTGGCGTGCTGGGGCTGCAGTCCACACTGAAGCCTGCTGGCTGAGACGGGCTCTCAGAGGGAGGCCTGCCTTTCTCTCACTTGCACAAAGGCGCCTTTGGCGTGAACTGTGGTTCTGCTGGGACCCTTGTGATCTCCATATCGGAGGCCCTCCTTCAGCCCAGCCCTGGTCTAGGCCCATCCTTCCGAGAGCCTCTTTTTCCATCTTAGAGTTGGGGTGTGTTCTGGAAAACAAAAGCCTGTTTCATGGCCCGTCCCCTTACAGGGAAGGGGGATGCCACAGTCTCTCTGCCTTGCGTAGAGCCGGGTGTCCAAGTATACCTTAAGATCTGTTGTCCTGTATGATGGAACCGAGGCCTTAGAACAAGACAGTCCCATGTTTTGCAGGCTTGGACCTGCATCTGGCCTCAAGCATCTGGAAATGTGTATTTTCTTTATTACCCAGACTTGGATGGCCTTGTGGGGGTTCAAGGGATAGATCCTACTGTCGCTTCCTTTAAATTATTAACTATTTATTGTTTCTGGAACCTATGAGCTTCAGCTCTCCCAACCAGACCCTGGGATGGGTGAGAGAAAAGGGGGGGGGTGTCCCTCCCATCCCCACTCTGCCCAGCTCTCATCACTGTCAGACCCACCAGAGCTGAGGGCGGAGGGACTGGGGGCTGGGGCAGCCTGGGTCCCCATCCCCCTCTCTGTGCCTCGGTCTCCCCCCTTCCATGGTGGGCGGGGGGAAGCTCCATTCTTAACCTACCTCGTTTTGGGGAGGAGTGGGACAGGAGACTAGAGTGCTGTATGGTGCTGTGGGATTTTTGGATGAAGCAGTGGGGGCTGGGAGCCCAGCCCCCACCTCCCAGCACCGCCTCTCCCAGGTCTCCCAGTCCTGTTCCCTGCTGATACCCACCTCTGATCCATGATTACCCTTCATCACCCCCAAATCAGGGGTGCATGGAGGGCTGACCCTGGGAGCCAGGAAGACCTTACACCCTGGAGCACCCAGGCCCAATTTCCCAGCTGCTTGCCCCTCAGATTGGATGCTTGGCCCCCAGGCTTGGGGGAGGCACCCCAACATTTATCTTCCTGATTTTGATTCCAAGCCAGTCTGTGACCTCAACATTGTTAGTGTCAGTGCAGGCTGAAGTGGGGGGGAGGATGGGGGCCCAAGACCCAGCCTTGTCATCGGGGGAGGGGGCATGAGATCTGCTCCAAGAAACGTCTGTGACAAAGTCTCAGCCTGAGTTTTTTATTTGCATTGGCGCGCCCCACCCACTCCTGTTCCTGAATTGCCATACCAGTCTCCTGCCTCAGTTGTCCCTTCCCCTCCACATCCTTTAGTCCCAAGAGAAGTCAGCAGAGTCTCATTCCGTCATTCAAGTACATTCATTGGGCACCCCATATATCATGCACCTATTTCGTATAAAGCAGCTGGAACAGGCAATAATCCCTTCCCACTGGAGCTTATGACTTTGTAGTGGGGAGACAATAATAGACCTAATCTATTAGAATATAAGGAAGAGATGGGTGGAGTGGTGCACACCTGTTAATACCAGTGATTTCAGGAGGCCGAGGGAGGAGAATCATAAATTCCTGGCCAGCCTAGGCAACTTAGCAAGATCCTGTCCCAGAATCAAAAAGGGCTGGGGATGTAGCTCAGTGGGAGAGCACCCCAGGTTCAATCCCCAGTGCAGGGTGGGGAAGAAGCATGGGGGACAGAAGATTTTAGAGTGGAAAAGTAAGGCCTTATTCAGGAACTGGCATTCAAATACAGCCCTGGAGGAAGTTAGGTGGTCTGGTTCAGAGGAAAAGCCAGTGCAAGGTCTGAGCTAAGAGGTGCCTGGTAAGTCTGAGGAACATGAAGGGAGATTTTAGCATCTAGAAGGGAGGAGAGGGAAGGGACAGGGCAGATCTTGCAGGTCATTGTATGAATTTTTTTTTTTTTTATCCTGAGTCAGATGGAACCACAAGAAAACTTCAAGCATGGGTGGGATGAGACCTGACTCAGGTTCACAGGCCCCCTCTGAGTAACAGGTACTTGGGGGGAGGCAGGGTGACAGTGGAGGCTGCTGTAATGGTCCAGGGAGGGACCATAGTGGGTAGGACCAAGGGGAGGGCGGTTAGGGAGGGAGAAGTGTGAGGACACTGGACCTATTTTGAAAGTTGAGTCCACAGATTATATACTGGGTTTGATATTAAAAAAAAAAAAATCACAACTGGGGATGTAGCTCAGCACTAGAGAGCGTGCTTAGTACATTCAAGGCCCTGGATTCAATTTCCAAGAAATAAGAGTCAAGGTTATATATAAGTCCAAGTTTTGGGGCTGGGCAATTTTTAATGTTTTATTTAGTGCAACAGATGTCTCCCCTAAGTGCCCTGTCTTGGGGTAGGCAGGTCTCTGCAGGGACCATTTCTGACCCTTGTTCTATCCTGGGGCTCCCAACTCACATCTACTTCCAGAGAAGGAGGACAATCAGAGATAAGAACTGGAACTATGATGTTTAACGACAGGAACAAAATCAGCAGCAGCAATAACAGGCTCAGGAGTTTAAAAGCATGGAATCTGGAATTAGATCTTTGAGTCTTGGTACCCACCATAAATTCACCAAGTAACTTACATTCTCTGAATCTTCTATGTAAAACGGGGATAAGATACTTAGCCTAGTAGCACAACTGAATTACTCAATGCCATAGTTGTTATTCTTAATTGAGTACCCTCATGTGCTTTTTACATAAGGACTAATTAATTCTCATAAACAACTCTTAAGAGTAGGTACTATTATTATCCCTATTATACAGATGGGAAGCAGTTTGGCAGGAACCGGTGAGGGGCAGAGTCAAACCCTAATCCTGTCTGCCTGCCTCCTTGGGTGCAATCTCTTATTCACGAAGGCCATGGATTGCCCCAGCTCCATCATTCAAAGGCCCAGAGAAGTGGGGGTTGAGGGCCTAAGGGCACATTGGGATAGCTGAGGAGGGCCTAGGTGGGGGAGCGGGTGTGAGAGGTTAGCTGAAATGGCTAGATCTTTGACTTCATTCATAAGGAAGAGGAGGAAGCAAGGTTCTGGATTTGAGACGGGAGTTGTGTGAAGTGTGAAAAATCTGGACTGCAGTGCATTAAGATCAAAAGGCCACCAAGGGAGACTGAGAAAAAGGAAGCCCAAACTGCTTTTATGTAGCCACAGTAGAGACACTTACTAGCTTGTCGCGACAGCTGGGATCCTGAGCCAACGCTCTGGAATTTACAGCCCTGACAGGTTACCTGAAGGGCGGTGAGGGCGGACTTGGGGGCGGGTTCTGCCTCCTTCTGCGCCAATTGGAGCTGAAGTCCTTTCTCGACAAGAGGCTGACGGGCCGGGGCCGCCACCCTGCGCGGTCGGGTGGCGGTGCGCGCGGCGCTCCTGGGGCGGAGCCTGCCACCGGCCGGAAGGGGGCGCGAGTCCGGCACCAAGGCGACTTTTCCATGGAGGGGGCGGAGGCAGAAGCGCAGGAGGGGGCCGCAGTGGCCCGGGACCTGCGAGCTCTGGGGTAAGGCGGTGTGTGGTGTGGCTGGGGGACAGGAGAGCGTTTTAACTCAGGACTCTGACGGAGAGGGAATCGCTGACCCACCCCCCGCCGCAGGTATGGGGACTTTCCGGAGGTGGCATCAAGGGGCCCCTCATGCCCAGGCTTCAGGGCGCTGTGCGCGCGGCTGGCAGCGGAGCTGGTGACACTGGGCACTCTGGAGGAGCCGCGAGAGGAGGGTGCAGAAGTGCTAAGCGTCGGCAACGGTGCGGACAGAGCCGCGGGGCGGGAGGCGGGGAGCCGCGGGCTCGGCCGCGCCCTGACTCCTCCCTCCTCCTGCAGGCCCCGGCGCGGACGAGGGATTCCTGCGGCAGTTGGCGGGACTGCTGCGGGCGTTGCACTGCCCGGATCGCGCGCTCTGCGGGGAAGGCCGCGAGGCCGCGTTGCAGGAACCCGGCGCCGGCCTGCGCCTGCTGCGTGAGCCGCGGCGGCCCCGGGATGCGAGAGTGGGCGAGGCTAGGGCTCCGGAGAGGGCGGGCCCGGGTTCCCAGGGAGGCGTGGTCAGAATTTTAGGGCGGGCCAGAGGGTCCGAAGTGGGTGGGGTCAGCGCTGGGGCGGGCCGAGAGCCCCGACGTGGGCAGGGCTAGAATTTTGACGAAAGACTCTGGAAGCGCCAGTGGGTTGAGTTAGATGGAGCAGCGCAGGTTGTTTTGAAGTGGGCGGGAGTCGAAATCGGGGGACACCCGGCCTCTAGTGGGTGAAGCTTCTTCTGGAGGCGGAGCCAGTGTTCCAGGTGGGCAGGGCTGGAAGGTGGCGGTGCACAGTCCACCTCCGCTGCACCTGCACGGATCCCTTTCCTGTTTCCAGGCTTTCTCTGCTCTGAGCTCCAGGCTGCCCGCCTCTTGTGCTTGCGCCCCCTGCTGGACTCCAGCTCGGTGACGCCCCTTGGGGACCGGGCAGAAGAGGAAGCTGGCACGGTCCAGGAACTGGTCCTTACCCTGCAAGCCCTGGGGCTGCCCAGACCCATGCCAGGGACTCAAGCCAGCCAGATACTGCGGGAGCTACATACCAAGGTAGAGACCGGAGCCACCCCGTCTTCCTTGGCTCTTCTTTCCAAAAGGAGCCCTAGCCCTAGAGGGAGTGTCCCAATTACATAGCTGTGTTTTAGAACTGAGGCCACCATTCTTGGTTCTGTGGCCTGGGTCCTCGGGGTCGAGGGGAACTGGGGCCTATGGAGGGGTTCATCCTGTTTCTGCCTCAGTTGACCTCTCTTCTCCCATCAGATTTCAGAACTGCTACCTTCCCTGCCCCCAGGGTCCATGGAGCCCCTCCTCACCTACCCACTGAACGCACCCCAATGGGTAAGACTATATACAGTTATAGGTGACATCCAGACACGGGAGTGAGAGGGGTCCGGGTATGACAGACCTTTTCTTCCAGAAAGCGTTGGAGTCTCTCTCCGGAAGCTTGGCAGATCAGTACTACTGCCGTCGCTGCCTCCTCCTCAAGCGCCTGGACCTCACGACATCTGCTTTCCACTGGAGTGATCGGGCAAAGGTGTGGGCACAGGACACTGGAAGGAGCAGGAGGCCTAGTTGTGGGGGCCACAACTGTGAGGTGGAGGAATGAGGGCCAGGAGTAATATCCTCTGGGAAGTTCTGAGGCCCAGACCACTTTAGAATCTTGTAAGAACTGGGGCTTCTAGAATCTCAAGCCTCCAGGGAATTCTAGAATTCCCAGCTCTGAGCTGGGAGTGTCTTCAGAAGTATCCCCTTTGGAGAGAGGTGTGGGCAGTGATGCTATCTTAGTCTGTTTCGTGTTGCCATGACAAAGTCCCTGTGACTGGGTACTTTATAAGGAGGTTTATTTTCACTTAGGGTTTTACAGGCTGAAAAGTTCAAGTTTGGGCAATCAAATATGGTCAGGGCCCATGCTGGGTGGCATCACAGAGTGGGGGTGCCTATAGTAGTGGCAATCAGGCACATGTAGAAAAGAACAAAACATGGGGTAACTAGTCCAGTGCAGCGAGGCCTAACCTACTCCCACTGGACTGCATTAACCACTCCTAAGGGTGGTGCCTCTGTGACCTTATGACTCCCCTAGACTCCACTTCTTAACCATTACGCCATTTCTTAATACTATTACACTAGGGAATCTACAGCCCAGACAGGTTACCTGAAGGGCAGTGAGGGCGGACTTGGGGGCGGGTCTGGACCAAGTGTCCAGTGCATGAACCACATACAAAGCATGCAGAGGCCTTAGAGGGAAAGATGACATCCCACCCAGGGAAGGCTCTAGGACACCTTCTCCCTGTTCCCTGCCCCTCCAGGCCCAAGGAAAGGCCATGAAGGCAGTGTTGATGCCAATTCGAGAGGTTTTGAGCCCAGAATCAGACATCTCCATCGCACATGTTCTGGCTGCCCGAGCTGACCTTTCTCGCCTGGTCCCAGCAACTAGCAAGGCTGCCCGCCAGGGGACCAGCTGTGCCATCAACAAGGTGGGCACCTGGGTGGGGAAGGTCTCTGACATCCCTGGCCTTCAAATTGGCCTTTCGGCCTTTGCCCTGTCCACACCTGACCTCTCGCTCCCTGGTCCTTGGCCTCTGGACTGGCCACCTCTAAGCAACCCCCCTTCACATGGCAGCTAGAAGGACCTTAAAACTCAAAAATCTGATCATGGACTTTCCCAGCTCAAAACCGTACTGTGGCTCTCTAGTGCTCTGAAACAAAGTCCAGCTGTTTACTGAGCTACTGCCCAACTTCGGTTTAACTCTATCCCCAGTACCTTACCTTGTCTATGAGTTTTTAACTTCTTTTTTTTTGTTTGCATTGTTTGGGATTGAACCCACAGGCTCTACCACTGAGCTAAATCTCTAGTCCTTTTTTATTTTTTATCTTGAGACAGTCTCACTAAATTGCTGAAGCTGGCCTCAAACTTGGCATTCTTCCTCCTATCTCAGCCTCCTGAGTTGCTGGGATTATAGGTGTGTGCCAACACACAACTGGCTTACCACCACCACCACCCCCCACTCCTCCAAGACTGGGGATGAAACCTAGGGGATTTCTGCCTGAGAGTTACACTCCCATTATCTTCAGACAGGGTCTCACTAAGTGGTTGAGGCTGACCTCAAACTTTTGATCCTCCTGCCTCAGCCTCCCAAAGTCAATGTGATTCCAGGTGTGCATCACCTCACCCACCATCTTAACGCTTCTAAAAACAAATAGACTCTGTTTAAGTGGTTGAGAATTTAGCTTTATACCTCTCTAAAGTTGTCTTTAAATATTTTTTTAGTTGTCAAAAGACCTTTATTTTATTTATTTATTTATATAATGTTGAGGATCAAACCCAGTGCCTCACACATGCCAGGCAAGTGCTCTACCACTGAGCCCGAGCCTCAGCCCCTCTGAAGTAGTCTTAAACTTGCAGCGTGCAAATAATGGATTTTTTTTTTCTTGGTACCAGGGATTGAACTCAGGGGCGCTCAACCACTGAGCCACATCCCCAGCCCTATTTTGTATTTTATTTAGAGACAGGGTCTCTCTCAGTTGCTTAGCACCTCACTTTTTGCTGAGGCTGGCTTTGAACTCGTGATCCTCCTGCCTCAGCCTCCCTGAGCTCCAGATTTCAGTGTACACCCCCACGCTCCACCACTTTCTGATGACCTTTGAGGCCAGTTTAAAAGCTCGATGCTCTCCTCTTCCATCAGTCTGGTCCCCTTCTCCCCAGCCACTACCCAAACAGTCACCATCTGCCTTCCTTCTTTTAGTTTTATTTTTTAGTTTAGACGGACACAGACACAATATCTCTATTTTCTGTATTGGTTTTCATGTGGTGCTGAGGATGGAACCCAGTGCCTCACAGGTACAAGGCTGGCGCTCTACCGCCCAGCCCCAGCCCCTCCCTTCCTTCTTGAATCTCATGCTGTTCCGTTGCTCTCTGGACCCCTTGTCCACAATTTCTATTTTTTTCCTCTGAAAGTCAAGTCTGATCGATTCTTAGGTGCTTATGGGTGAAATGCCGGACCGGGGTGGCCGCCCCAACGAGCTGGAGGCCCCCATGCCCAGCTGGCAGAGCCGGAGGGAAGACGGCGACTGGGGGAAAGCAAACCGCCAGCGCTGGGGCCGCAAGAAGAAGAAGAAGTAAAGGGCCGGGGCGGGGCGGGGCGGGGCTCCGGGAGATGCCCAGGGCCAGTCACCCTGGGGAGTCAGTTTGGGGGTCCCTTGGTACCGGCCCCCAAGTCCCCATCCCCTGGTTCTGGAGGCCCCCAAATGTCCTGTGCCCGTCCACCTCTCAATGCCAAGAACAATGTTCCCTGGAAAATAAATTTAATTTTGATGGCTGTAGGACCCTTTCTGTGGAGGCCCGCCCAGGGGCACGTGGCCTTTGGGGGGAGGCCCTGCTCTGCGTCTGGACAGGCCCCGCTGCTCTGATGCACAGGGTCCTCCACCTTTCCAGGACACCCTTTCCCTTCCTGTGGGCATGGGGAGGACACTTATCCTGTGTCCCCAGTGTGCCAGTTCTGTTCTAGGCATGGGGACACTGTAGGGAAAGACAGGTAACATTTCTGGTGAGGAGGAAGGGACATTTCACAAAATATAGGTGGAAGGTGAATCTGTCTCACAGAGGAAGCACCATGGAGAAAAATAATGCTGGGAGGCAGGATGGGGTGGGGGGCAAGGAGGTGCAGGTCTCTGAAATGGTCAGAAGTATCCCTTGAGCACTGTTTCAGAAAATAAGCCACATGGGGCCCTGGGGAGGAGCCTTCCTGGTAGTGCAAAGGCCCTGAGGTAGGATTCTTTGGGGAATGTTCAAGGTACACTGAGGCCAGGGTGGCAGAAGCAGGATGAGTAAAGGGGCTGGGAGGTGGGGGTGGGGTCAGAGAGGTGAGGGTCAGAGTGTGGAGCTCTGTGGGTCACAGTGAGGACTGGCTTTTACCCTGAGCTAACGGAGGGTGGCTCAGGGTATGGGGTTCACAGGCCCACAGTTCCACCCCCTTTCCCCTGTCTCTGCCACCCCAGTTTGGAGCTCTGCCCACCCTTCACTCACGCTGGCTGTCCACGGGGCACTGCGCTCAGGTCTGCAGCTTCTCTCTTAGCAGACCAGGTTTGCGTCCTGCCTCCTACCCTGGGAGCTCTGTCCCCTTGGCCAGCAGCCTGACCTCGCCAGCCTCCCTCCTAACCTGGTGAGTGGAGACTTGGGCGACAGTGAGCCTCGGTCTACATGCGCCCAACACTGAGCGGCACATGCTACGTGTGGGAAATGGAGTGGGATTAATAGCTCTTGCCACACGAGGGAAGAAAAGAACTTTTCTGGGAGGTCAAGTGATGATGGATGCGTCATCAAAGGCCCTGTGGGTGTGGAGAAGGGGATGTCTGGGGGTCCTGGGGGTGGGGGCTGTGAGGGAGAGACAAGCCCAAGATGATGTCTAGGAATCTGGCTTGGAGGAGGAGGTGGGTGGTGGGACCGGCTCTGGGGAGGAGACCTGGAAGGAGGAAGATAGTAGTGAGGGGGTGTCAGATGTGGGGAAGAGGGTCTCCCCCAGACCGTCTCAGCGATGAACGAATGGACCCTGGGTTTTGTGGATTTTTAGTGTTTTTTTTTTTTTCCCCTAAACCTGATATAAGAGTCTCTGCTTTTAAAGTGTGGAATTTACTCCACTGATATTTATTGTAGCTCCTGATACATTTGACTTTCTTCTTTTTTTTTTTTTTGTATCAGGAATTGAACACTTAGGGGCACTTAACCACTGAGCCACATCCCTAGTCCTTTTATATAGTTTATTTAGAGACAGGGTCTCACTGAGTTGCTTAAGGCCTCCTAAATTGCTGAGGCTGGCTCTGAACTCTCGATCCTCCTGCCTCAGCCTCCCGAGCTGCTGAGATTACAGGCATGCGCCACCGTGCCCAGCATTATTCTTGCCATCTTAGTGTTTTTGTTTTTGTTTCGCCCTCTCTCTAAACCCTTTTTCTGTTCTAGTGGTTACTCCTCCCCCCAAACATATTGAAACTTCTGTTTTCCACTCAACATTATAAATTAGCCAGTATCCATCCCCTCCCACCAAGCAATGGGGGACATTTGCATATTTTCACTTTCCTGTGAGTCCCCAGACCTGTCTGGTCTCTCCCAGATGGCCAGCTGGGGCAGAGCGCAGTTCCTGCTTACCGTCTCTGGTTCCCAGGAAGGGTGTGGGGACTCTGTCTGGGTCCAAGCATGGCAAAGGTGGTACCCAGTCTCAGGTTCCAGGGAGAGTGTGTAGGACAGACGCTCCTCAGCGTCTGTTTGTGGAGTGACGATGGAAGGGACGTTGGCATGAGGGGAAAGACCCATGACCTTGGAAATGAACCCCATCCACCAGCCCCCTTCCCAGCACTGCCATGCCCTGGGACTTACCAGAGCTGGCATGAGGAGGTGGTGTGGGTGGGACAGGGGCTCCTGGGGGTCCCGCGTCACCCTTGGGCCCTGGTCTCTTCTTACATTCCACCTTCACTTGGTCCCTGCAGTGTTTGTGGCAGCAGAGGCCACAGTCTGGGGGACGGGAGTGGTTAGTACCCTCCATGCTCCAGTCTGTGGGTCCCACCACCCTCCCGCTGGAGGGCGCCCCACTCACCCCGGCAGCGGTAGCCTTGCTTGGTGACACCCCAGAGCTGGAAGAGAAAGCAGAGCTGGTTCAGATGACAGGCTGGAGGGCGTGGGCTGAAGGGACAGGATGGAACTGTGCAAGTCACCAGGTTTGAAAAATTTTCAAGAATTTGAGAATTTAACTGGAATTAAAGGAACCTGCAACTACCTGAAGTTGGGGAGCCAGGCAGGATATTAGAATTCGGTGAACTGTGGAGTGCATGTTCTACGGGCAGGGACCGTGTCTATTGTTCCTGAGATGTCCCCAGGCCTGGCATGGCTTGTCACAGGGAAGGTGCTCAGTACAGACTGTGGCTGGTGAATTTGGGAGGTGACCCAAGGTTGTGAAGTAAGTCTCAGTTTGGAGACCGAGAGATCGGTCCTCCATCAAGAGTTTGAGGAGGCTATCAATTTGGAAATTGTCCAGACCTTGGATGGTGTGGATGGAGTTTAGCCATCTGGAGATGGGTTCTGTTTGGACATGATCCACCCAGGTTTGTTCTGGAGATTACCCAGAGCTTTAGGTATTATCCGGGGTTTGGTGGTTGTCCAGGGTAGAGATTACACAGGATTTGGGGGTTATCTGGATTTGGGCATTATCTAGAATTTGGAGATTATTCCAACTGGAGCATTTAGTATTTAGTTTATTTAGTATTTAGTGGGAGTTTTCTGGAATCGGGGGATTATCTGATTGTGGGGACCCTTCACCCTCCAAGGCAGGGCCAGCTCTCAAGTCCCAGCTCGGATGCTCCAGGGCCCTAGGGGTGCCACCAGGACAGAGTGCTTACAAAGCCGTTGCAGTTGTCACAGAAGGTAGGCTTGCGCAGGGTGACCTCGTGGAAGGTGTGCAGGAAGGCCAGGCCCAGCTTGGAGCAGATGGCGCTGGCATGCAGCAGGTACCCCATCAGCTCCTCTCTGCTGAAGGAGCCACGCCTGGGGTAGAGACGACGCCTCAGCACGACTGTCCCTTCCTCCCCAGGCCCCCAGTCCTAGCAACTCCAGAGTCCTCTGCTCTGGGGGCCCCAGGAGTCAGGGCACTTACCCCTGGCGGGGGGGCGGGTGCAGCCCGTGGCAAGCGAAGGGGAAGTTGCCCGACAGCCGTTCAAAGTCCTCCTGCGAGATGGTGCCGCGGCCTTCAGGGTCGTAGTTCTTGAACACGGACTTTGGAGGAGCAAGGGAGGGACAGGGTGAGTCGGGGATGAGGCCCAGCCCCAGGGTCCTGGATTCCTTCCCGCACACGGGAGTCCCCTCCTGGCACCCACCTGCGGGGGCCCAGTCCTTCCTCACCTCCACCAGCTGTTCCACGTGTCGACCCAGGGTGATCCTGTCCGGCTTGGGTGTCACCCCAGTGGTCCACTCGACCACCACAGGTGCTTTGAAGGGAGAGGGCGGCTGGAGGGGGACAGAGGCACACAGTGAGGCACTTCATAGGCTCGGGCAGGGGTCAGAGGTCAGGGGTTAGGTCTCACCAGACTCTTGGGACAGCGGGGCTCCCGGGCGTAGGACAGCTCGTAGATCTCGTCCTCCGTGTAGAAGAGATCCAGGGAGAGCTGGGGTGGGTGGGGTGGGACAGAGCCTCCTGTCACTGTCCCCCAACCTCAGCCCACATGCCTGCCTCTTCGGGAGACCCCAGACCTGCCCAGCCCTCCCACTCTCCTGAGGTCCTTGTTAAAGACCCAGCCCCATCTCCCTCCGCGCCCTTTTTGCCTTCTCTCTTCTCTGTGGCACTTGTCATCTAGAGGCGGAGAGACTTCCCGACCTGGCTGGAGTGGCTTGTGGCCCCCAGAATGTCTGCCCCTCAGAAGGCCACTGTGTTTGCTGACTTGCCCTCTACCATGTTCCGGGTGCCCGACGCTGGGCCTGGCTGGCAGCAGGTGCTCAGTAAATACTGGGGCTGAGGGATGGCCTTTCACAACCAGCAAAGAAAGGGGTCTCAATTTGGGCGCACGCCTATGACCCAGTGGCTAGGGAGGCTGAGGCAGGAGGATCAGAGTTCAAAGCCAGCCTCAGCAAAGGCAAGGCATTAAGCAACTCAGTGAGACCCTGTCTCTAAATAAAATATAAAATAGGGCTGGGGATTGGCTCAGTGGTCCAGTGCCCCTGAGTTCAATCTCTGGTACCACCCTCCACCAAAAAAAAAAAAAAAAAATAATAATAATAATAAAGAAAGAAAAGGGTCTCAGGCACCAGCCATCTTAGGGCAAGGCAGGCTTCACAAGCCAGTGACTGTGCAGGCCCTTGCTTCCAAGGGTCCCTGCTGTGTTTCATGGTTTAATGTCCTGCTGTCACCTTCCGTCTCTTTTTGGGGGGGTGGGCGTGGCAGGGTCATACTGGGGATTGAATCCAAAGTATGCAAGGTATCTCTGGGCATCAGTTTCCCAGTCCACACAATGGGTGCAGTAAGGGTTCCCACCTCATAGGGTTGTGAGGTATCCTGAAGTGACAACTGGCACAGAGCAAGTGATCAACACGGTTAACTTTCTGCCTAGATTCTGATTATGTCGAGGCCTGAAATTGTGAACTAGTGTCCAGAACCTGGGGTCAGGAGTACAAAAGCCCAGAGCAGTTCTGGAGCTCAGGTCAGTGGACACTTGAGTCAGAGGAATCCAGGGGAAAATGGCCTCACACACATACAGCTCACTGTACTCCTGTAGTCCTGAGTCTGGTTTTTTGTTGCTGTTGTTGGTTTTTTTTTTTTTGGCACTGTGGATTGAACTCAGGGGCACTCAACCACTGAGCCACATCCCCAGCCCTATTTTGTATCTTTTAATTTAGAGTCAGGGTCTCATTGAGTGGCTTAGTGGCTTAGTGCGTTGTTTTTTGCTGAGGTTGGGTTTTGAACTTGTGCTCCTCCTGCCGCAGGGGCTGCTGGGAGGACAGGCATGTGCCACTGCAGCCGGCTCCAGATTCTCTTTTAAGTACTTTATATTCATCATTTATTAGTCAATTCTCAAGTACCCTCTGAAGTGGGTCCGATTATTCCCACTCTCTAGATAAGGAAACTGAAGCTGAGGGGTTAAGTAACCTGCCCAATGTCACACAGCACTGTCTGGTCCTGCAGAGCCTTACAGGCCCAGGACCCTCAATCTCAGTACCCCCAGGCCCAGCCTCTGGGGGCCCACACTGGGCGGAGCAGGGAAGCTCACGGTGAGCAGATGCAGCAGGTCTTCGTTGGCGCTGCAGGGGGGATGCTGTCCCTGGAGGGCTGCCAACTCCTGCAGCCGCAGATAGAGGCTGTTCAACTTGGGCAGATGCAAGCGGCCATCTGGTAACCGGTCAGGATGTGCCTCGTGCAGGGACACCAGGTCCTTGAGGTGCACACCCAGAACAGGCAGCCGGAAGCCGCTGCAGCCAGCCCAGGTGCGGCGGTAGCGGGCGTAGTTGTTGTGGGAGCCGAGAAGCTCTGTCAGCTCCAGCAGGGCCTGGGTGGGAGGAACACGTCATCGGGAAGAGCCAGTATGTTCCCTGAGCCCCTCTAGGCTCCAGACCCCCAGGGACCCTTTCAAAACCTCCTAAGCCCCTTCTGTATCCCACACTGGCCTCAGTATTTCCCCAAACTGCTTTTCCACTTGGGTCTCCAACTCAGAGAGGCTCTACTATCACCCCATTCCCCAAGTTAGAATGAGGTCTCACAAAATTGAATCTGATCATGGGTACTGGCATCACTCTCAAACCTGCCCTAGCTCCCCAGTGCCCTTTGGATGAAGCTCAAACACCTTAACTTGAGCTTTCAGGGTTCAACAGAATCTTCCCTGGGCATATCCAGCCTATTTACCTGCCCTTAGCCACACACCGGATGCATGAATGACTGACTCTTCCTGGGCACTTCCCAAACCGCCCCCCCCATGTTCCTCCCTTGGGTGGCACAAATGTTGATTGGATGTGGGACAGCTTGCCACCTGGACTGCTGGTTCTCCGTTAGCCTCTTTCTCACCAGCCTCCCTCACAGCCCTCCCTCACAGCCCATCTTAGGACCAGATCCATGGAGGACAGAGAGGATCACTGCTATCTATGCTGGTCACAGAGGAAGAATGCAGATGGCCTGGGGGCTCAGGCTTTGGGGCAGCCAGTTCCTCAGGTAGTCCCAGAGCCCCTGGGAAGGGACTGATGGTGATCGCTTAGAATCTGGGAGCTCACCTTGGTGCTGTCAGGGCTCAGGTGGGCCTGGGAGTCCTTGAGTCTGGAGATGGCACTATGACACAGGCCCCCTGTGACGGCCATCAGTGTGTTGAAATTTTGTAGCTGGCGGAGTCTCTAGGAAGGGAGGTGATGCCAGAGATGGTAAGTATCATAGAAGGACAGGCAAGGTCAAGTTCAAATGACGGCAGGTGGGTTGGGTGGACCAGTGTGTGCAAGGGACAGGTGAGGAAGGTGGCTGTCAGGCAGGGGTTGAAGAATGTGAGGTTAGAACGTGTGGGGAGAGCCAGGGGATGTGGCTGTGGTGGACAGCCAGTGGGCACGCGCGAGGCCCTGAGTTCGAACCCCAGGCAAGTGCGGGGAGCTGGACGGACAGGTGTGCTTCAGACAGGCGCGGGAGGATTCGGCCAGCCCTGAGAGTCCCACGGGTGAGGGCTCTGGGCAGAAGCTGGGGACCAGGCTGAGATGAAGGAACGGGACCAGGGTGGGAAGGGAAGAAGAGAAAGATTCCAGGTAGGTGGGGGGTCGAGATCCCCCCTCCCCTTTCCCAAGTTCAAGGGCAGAGGTCGCCTGGAGAGAGGGGCCGCGGAGGAGCGGAAGATGCTCAGACCAAGGAAACCCCAGGACTAAAGGGCCCGGCAAGAGGAAGAGGGCGGTGGAAGCTGCCAGAGGAAGGGCGTGGCCTACGTGGAAGTACGCA